ATGTGTGGTCTAGCATTACTATACTTGTGGGGACCTAAATCTGTTTACACAGTCACGTGTGGGGACTCGCCTCCCTTATGGGGACAAAATGGAGATCCCCATGAGGGGAATCATTAATTTTAGGGTGAAGACTTGGTTAGGTTAAGTTTTAGGGTTAGGGTAAGGTTAAGGGTTAGGGTTAGGCATGTGTTGGTCATGGTTAAGGTTAGGATAAGTCTCCAGGAAATGCATGTGTACGTGCGTGTGTGTGTGTGTGTGTGTGTGTGTGTGTGTGTGTGTGTGTGTGTGTGTGTGTGTGTGTGTGTGTGTGTGTGTGTGTGTGTGTGTGTGTGTGTAAAAGAGACAGAGAAAGAGTGAGTGGACGGAGGGTAGTGTAGCGTAACTAGAGCGAAAAAAGTTCCCCCAGAGCCGTTAATAAAAGATGATGCTGCAAAATGGATACCGGCTAGAGCTCCAAGATGACATGACAGAAAAATATATGACTGATATTCCTTTCCTATCTGTCTTCCATGTGTTTTGTTGTTAAATATTAAGATCAGATCAGACAATTGCTGATTTATGACAATTGCAGTGATTTTTAAGCAAACAAAAGCATTATACTATGGATTCATGGTGTATCAAATGGAAGAGGGACTTGTAAATCTGGAAGGGCTGGTGTTATGCCCCCCCCTGTAACTTCGGCCAAGATGATCATAATCTCACCGAAATCACACTGGTGTTAGTTATTCCCTTTTAGTTTAAGCAAATAAAAAAGCATGTTATTCGGAATGTTTTAAAATGTACGGTATTAACTGAGTCTTAAATTGTTTTTTGATAAGTCCTACTTAGTATTTAAAGAAATTATGAAAATGAACGAATTAAGTGTTTCAAAATGTACATCTCTGTGAGTGCTGGTCAACCCCCTCAGCAGTTCTAGGTGTAATGTAATGTTGGTGATTCTAGTGTTAATGCATTAGAAAAGATCTATACTTTGTACTGTGTATAAATGAAGGAGATCATCAGTTCAGTTTCACAGTTAAGTTTGTATGCAACTGTGATACTAACTCTGTCTCTACCCATAATTCATCTGAGAAGCCCTTGAAAAGTCCTTGTCAGGGTTTTTATGCATTTATATAAAAATAATATGGTTTTCATTTGCATAATTACCTGCTGCACCACAACACAGTTTTACCTAAATGAAGGAGAATGGCTGGGGCTTAAGACCAACCATGGATAGATAGATAGATAGATAGATAGATAGATAGATAGATAGATAGATAGATAGATAGATAGATAGATAGATAGATAGATAGATGCGTTTTCTCCATGCTTAAGGGTGAACTGGTTTGTTTGAGAATATATCTAAATATTAATGACATTCAGCGCCTAAGGCAGAATTGTAATGGCTGTTCACTTACTTATCCAGCTTCTAGCTTGCTACAGTAATTATCATGCCTCACTTGTCCTGTTGAATTCACATATGCTTGCTTTGGAAAGAAGCAGAAAAATAGTAGTCAGTGCCATTTCTTTGTTCTGAGTTGTTTCTATAATTAGCTCAGAGTGGTAATATACAGTGTCATACTGTGCGCAGGCTGTTAAAGAACTAAAAATGAGCTTGTTTGATACGAGATATTGTCAGTGTCTAAAAATAGGCATGTTGGCGAGTAGGAAACGGTGCAGTTCTACATACAGGGAAGGCTGATCAATTGTCTCTCACATACAGAGGCAGGGAGGAGCTGTCCTTGGTGCTGAATCAGCCACCCGCACTTGGCTTCTGGTGCTCTCTGCAGACTGCTGTGTCTGTCTGGTCGCCTGTGGCTCTAAACACAAGTGTTACACACCATCATTGTTAACGTGTTGTGTTTTTTTCAACTACATTTCAGCACTAGCAGGAAAGCTACAAAAAGCAATAGGAGCGATTTCCTTTTTGTTTGGAGCTTTTGGTGTACTACTCTATAATAGATTAAGATGTTCTTTTGCTAGTTGCTTGTTTAGTACAACTTAAGCAGAACTGAAACCTTAGGTTAATGCAGGTAGGTACCTGTAAGGGTCTTTTGTTTCATAAGAGAAGGATTCATTGTTATGTGTTCTGTTGTTTGCTTGCTTGCCAAGGATGAATACATCTAATTAAAACCAGATTTATGTGAAGACATGGAGAGCAGAAGAGGGAGTTTTCAGATTCTTTATTTTAGTGAAAGTACTTATTACTTAATGTTAAAAATGTTTGCTTAAAGTAAAAGTCTTGCCTTCAAAATCTCACAAGTACAAACATATATTGTTTACATTTGTGCATTTTGCTTTTTAAATGTCGTTGTACCTGTACAATGACAATAAAGGGATTTAAAAAAATCAAAATATGTACTTTTAGAAATATGTATATAATATAATGTCACTGTATTAAAACTATTTATGCATTAGTATCTACATCACTAATGTACGTGCACAATATATAAACACAAAATCATATTTTATTATTTTGTAACATTAGTCTGAATCTTCACGTGGTTACGTTAGACAAAGATGTAATTGCCTTCATGCAATCAATCATACAATCAATCAAACATACAATTCATAATTTCCATCATTGATTTTTTTATTTTTTTTATTGAGTTTGATCTTGATTATGGACAATGTGAACGTGAATCTTCTTGTAATACACCTTAAAGTAAAGATGTAAACAACAAAGCTGTAGTACACACACGTTAAAAACTGTAGATTTCAATCTTATGCCACATATTTATCTGAGCCAATCAGATTGCGCTCCACCTGTCACCTTTGGTGTATTTTGAGACGGCTCGACCAATCAGGACGAGCAAAGCGCTTCGTCACGTCGAAATCAAAGTTGTTGTAATAGCGGAGGAAAACTAGCCGGTGTTTGAGAGAGAGGTGGTGGACAAACCCACCGGCAGCGGCTACCGGATATTTTCTCCCGCTGAATGCATCCTTACCGGTCTTTTCTTCACCGAACAACAGCTTTAAACCAGTAAGACGAAGCACCTTTTTACGGAATACCGTGCAGCACCGGTGAAAGATGACTTGACAGTTAAACCGGCTCTACCTCTTCGGACTGTAGCGATGTATTAAAACCTCTGCGTGCATATTTCCCCCCCATTCCTCCGTCACCGTGGACAGTTTGGCTGTTGAAGGAGCATTTTCTGCGGAGCATACGACATGACGGAAATCAGCGAAAAGGAGAACGAACCACAAAACCGGGACTTTCACCGAACACAGCCTACCGTGCCCAGCCAGCAAGAATCAAAGGTACCAACACACCTGTACGCTATTCCATTGATTTAACCCATGAAAAACAGACATTTGTTTATTCTGACTAAAGCAAGGTTTTTCTCTAGTCTAATGTGTTATTAAAAATAGTGAAATCGTATTTAATCTTATCTATTTTGGAGTCATGTGTTATGGTTATGGTATGCATTACTTAATAAGGTGCCTTCTGTCTTGCAAGGCTAATTCTGTAGTCGTTGCATGTCTTGCATAACAACTGTAAGCCGCTTTAATAGCTGCTTTAATTCTTGTAACTACCCTGACCTCAAAGTAAGCAGAGGGCAGAGATTACATGAAAGTGTGTGTATGTGTGTACCTGCATGTGTGTTTGTGTGTGTGCACCTGTGTGTGTAAGAGAACTACAATTATGGAGTAAATACAGGTTATGGATAGCTGCAGGTAGAGGCAAGATAAGAAATATGCTGTGAGGCAGTTTTTGGTTGGGCTTCACTTTGATTTAACGTAGACATCAATAATATTGTGTACATGCAGTAAATGTTGGAGGTGGAGTTATGAGCCTGTGCCTTTTGTAGCCTTGCATCCATTATCTTGGAATAAAATCAAGGGGACCATCACAAGAGCCAGGGTGGCAAACATTGCAGATGCATGGATAGAATAAGATGCCAATTCATTTCCCATTCATCCCCATTTTTAAATGCTTTCTCTGCTTGAATATCGCCTGCCCTCCAGATATGACACAAACACATTAATACAGTATTCTCAAACCATGTTGCATCCTGAGTTCATATTGCAATCACGATATTGGATCACAAGACGTATCTGCTTTCTGTATGGTCAGAGATAGGAGGAAAGCCTTTGGGTTTTTGCACTAGCAACATGGAATTCAAATAGATGAATGAAGAATATATCTGTAATAGTTTAGGATTGCTTTAATGTTTTTGTCAAATGACTATTGCTAATCTTCTTATCCTACTTCTAGGCTTCTTTCAGAGTTAATACAACATGTTCTAAGTATTTTTGTTCAGAACTGTATGCTGCTTTCTTAGCCATACCACCCTTGCGAGGGAGGTTCAACATTGAGGAAACAACATAGGTTTACAAAAAGTCACTCAGAGAGCCTCCGCAAAGGCCAAATGCCAAAAAGAACATATCTTTTATATGCCTTGATATTCAGATCTATTCCCTTCCTTAACCCCACCCTTCCATCAACTGTTAAGGAAAATCCGACCAGTCGTTTTCAGCATAATCCTGTAAACAAACAAACTTAACCCAAAACATAACCTCGTTTGCTCAGGTTGATGTATGTTAAATGAAAGCCTCTTTAAATAAGTTGCCTCAAGATTAGGAAGAAAAGTATTACCCACCTTAATGCAGTTCTCATGTTAGCAATAGTGCATATTGCCCAACTCATTTTTGATCAAACAAGCACAAACTACATTATTACACAGTATTACGTTTTTTT